GTTTACAGGCCTCTGTTCGCTTGCGGGTTGTGTTTGAGGTGGGCGGCCCTGCACACGTATTTATTACGCTTTCCAGACTTTCTGAATAGATTTTCTAAATAAACACGGGTTTTATGACGTGCAATGTGTTCCTAGCGCAGCCTCCGACTGTCTGTATTGTCACCAAAACGGTCTGCACCTCACTCCTTCCTCCCCGACCGGGGACTCCGCCGCCCTGCGCTGCGCGGGGGCACTCCACGGGGCGGCCGACCGGCACCGCTCCCCCAGATGTGTGCGCGTGTGCGCATGAGTGTGTGTACATGTGCGTGTGCACTCCATGTGTGTGCAATGTGCACGCACATGTGTGCATTCCCTGTGCATACGTGTGTGCATGTGTGTGCGTACTACATGTCTGTGTGCACTGTATGTGTGCGCACTCCGTGTGTGCACGTGTGTATGCACTGCACTCCATGTGTGCGTGTGCATGCATGTGCGCGTGCATGTGTGTGTGCGTGCGCTCCACGCAGAGCCCAGTGTGTGATGGGACAGGGCACCGGCAGGAGCCAGTGGAGGTCGTGTTGGTGAAGCAGGCGGCCTGGGGTGGCCGCGGGGAGCTGTCCCCACACCCCACTACCCGCCCCGCACTCCGCCCTCCTTTCTTTATACAGAAATACAACCGGGAGGTCCGCTGAGGGTCTTCACAAAATAAATGGCATCGAGGATGTGCCTGGCAGAGGGCAGAGGCCGTGGGCCATGTGGAGGGCGCGGTGGGTATATTCAGACGGGCCAGAGAAGGCGCCACTTGGCGGCGAGAGGCTGCGGGCAGATGGGGGGGACAGACATTCTGGTCATGAGCGCCCCTTAAAACTCTCAGGCTCCGTCCCGCAGACAAAGCCCACCGGTCCTTCACATGCAGCTCAGGCGTGGTCCCCACTAAGCCGTGTCCAGCGAGGTGGGCACTGGGCACCGAAGCAGGTCTGGTGCAGGGCACCTCCCTGCCGCCCGGAGCAGCCTGCGGCCACAGCCGCCTGTCCCTGCCCAGCTGCAGGCGGTGCCTGTACAGACTGAGTGGGAGCAGGAGGCTCTGAGCCGGGACCTACAGGCCCGACGCTCCACCACAATGACCCGTGTGGCCTTTGAGGCTCTACCCAGGGCTGTGCTGTGCTCGGCGAGAAGGCCTGTGGACCCTGGAGGTTGGTCACTTAATTCTCTTCTTCTTCCCAAGACCTCGCCGCTTCCTCTGGGAAGCCTGGCGGGATGTGTTTGAACTGGCACAACCTGCCACCAGGGGGCGAGTCCAGCCGCCTCCAAACATGCCCCTGGCCCTGCAGGGCCTGGAGGAGGGCTCCCCACTCCACCTGCCACCCGGGCTCTCAGCCCGCGGGGAGTCTGAGATCTGCGTCCACGTGGAGAAAAACGGTGTGAGGTCGTGTACGTGTGCATCTCGAACCTGCAAAGGGAGCGGCTTCCTCTCATTAGAAGTCGCCGCCTTCTCCCTGCCCCCACCCACCCAAAGCCCAGGGGAACGTTATGCTTCTAAAATATATGTCTATTGATTTCAGAGAGGAAGGGAGAGGGAGGGAGAGATAGGAACATCGGTGATGAGAGAGAGTCACCGACCTGCACGCGCCACACAGGGGATCGAGCCCACAACCCGGCGTCCAACCATGACCCCCTGGTTCATAGGTCGACACTCCACCCCTGAGCCTCGCAGCTGGGCCTGGAAAAGTTGACTTTGACACGCAGCACGAGCGGTGCTGAAAGGGGAGAGCGCGGTGGCTGCGGCAGCTGGAAGTCACGCTCCCTGCTCCCATTCCGGCTCCGGCTCCGGCTCCGGCCCCTGTGAGCTGCGTGGGGCCGTGGCCGTGGGGCTTCTGTAACATGATTGTGGGAAGACGTGTGGCTGCCCCTCCTTCCTCCTGTGGGCATGCGTGTGAGGGTGCACGGAACACGGGGATGGGGGGCAGCCACACCGCGTCCCCCCTCACTCGGGGGAATGTCCAGTGTCCCCTCAGGCAAACAGCCAAGGACACCAGGGCTCGCTCGACCAGCGCACCCTTCCTTTTGGGGTGGAGACGCCGCCAAAGGTGATGGGTCAGGACAAACCAAACATTAGCTCTCAGATACGCTGCTGAGGACCGCCCGCAGACCCAGCCGCTTGCGACGTGGACGCTGCTCTGGGGTCGAGCACACGGACCTGGGCCGTCAAACGCTGGCCTGCTCAGTGGGTGGCCGGTGTCTGAGAAGCGCTGGCCTTGTTCTGCGGCTCGGTGTGTCTCTCACCTGTGTGCCAGCATCGCACCCGCAGTGTGTTCGCTTCACACACGCACAGCTCAGCGGCTACGCGAACCTCTGGGGCTCAGGTCACGCTCAGAGATGGGCCAGCGGAGGCCTTGACCACGTCAGCAGCGTTCCCGCTCCCAGCCCACGGCTCCGGCTCAGGGGAGGCGCCGCTGGGGGAGGCTGACCGAGCTTGTGCGGTGACTTGGGCAAGACCAGAGGAAAGTGGCACGAGAGCCAAGGCCAGGGAGACACAGGACTGGGCGCCGGAGGAAACTGGCAACCAGCCCCGTCGGAGAACAGCCGGGCCGGCAACTCCTGGTCGGTGAAGAAAATCCACATTCATGGAAAACATGTCAGGCCAACAGTATGCACCCAGAATATACACAAATTTTTCGACTGCTTGAGACACCATTTAGGCTTTATTTTATTTTTATTTGTTTATTTTTAAATATATTTTATTGATTTTTTACAGAGAGGGAGGGAGAGGGAGAGGGATAGAGAGTTAGAAACATCGATGAGCTGCCTCCTGCACACTCCCTACTGGGGATGTGCCCCAACCAAGGTACATGCCCTTGACCAGAATCGAACCTGGGACCTTTCAGTCCGCAGGCTGATGCTCTATCCACTGAACCAAACCAGTTAGGGCTTATTTTTATTTTTTATTTTTTAAATACATTTATTGATTTCAGAGAGGACTGGAGAGAGAAACATCAATGATGAGAGAGAATCATGGATCGGCTGCCTCCTGCACGCCCCCTACTGGGGATCGAGCCTGCAACCCGGACATGTGCCTGGAATCGAACCATGACCTCCTAGTTCATAGGTCGACACTCAACCACTGAGCCACATTCAAGTTTTTAAAAA